AATTCTAGAAATCGAAATGAATCTTCAAATTAGAATTTCAAGAAAATACATATCAATATCAAACAGTGACACTATTAACAAAAACATTGGAGTGCTTTACACCGTTTACTCCAACAGGTATGCTCTAATCTATGATGCTTAGAAGTTTCAGATGAAGTCTAAAAAGGAGCATTGCACATTGAGTAAATGGAGTTAGCAGGATTGAATGGCTCATTACTCTTTTGAATGAACTTGAAACTAAGAAGAAAAAGAATCACATGCTCTGCTGTGGAAGATAAACACTGTGGAAGTCTTTCTTAGAGACATAAGTGACAGGGAGCTATAAAAGTAACATTTTTATGATTTATATTTTTGTATTGTTGGTAATAATTAACATGGTTGCAATTTTGTAAGACAAAAATGCAGATAGAAATAAAATATTAAAACATAGCTCTATACCCTATATACATATGTATAACTTTTCAGTGCTCATTGCAAACAAATATGTTGTTGTTGTTGTTGTTGTTTTCAAATCCCTTTAGCTGCGAGCATTTCGCCCTTGGCAGCGTAATACCTCCCTCAAGAAACCACATGTCCTTGTCAGCACCTGGTCAACGCTAGAGTAGAGAAGGCTTTGTATGTCTGTAGGTGTGTGTAGGAGACTGCGTCGAAGGGCAGTGAAGGATAATATGTCCAACGATCTCCTCGTGGTAGTCACAGTTGCAATGGGGTTCCCACGTGGGGGTTCTGTTTATGTGCTTGTTGGTGTATAAGTGTCCTGTGCGCGCTCTGAAGATCAAAGTCTGATCAGCTCTACATGATAAGAGATTCGATGGGTCTTTGGGGTTGGGTTTGTCCATGTATCCGAAGAGAGATCTTCCTGTTTCTGCGCTGGCCCATCTGTTTAGCCACTCGTCTCTGCTTTTGGCTTGGATGATCCTTCTGCAGGTCTGTAAAGAGGCGGCTGCATCTGCCTGGGGCAGGCTTGCTCCAGTCTTTGATAGATGGTCTGCAGTCTCATTCCCTGGTACTCCAGAATGACCAGGCACCCACTGCAGTGTGGCCCGGACGCCATAGGTAGTGCCCATCTGTTTTACAAGGCTGAGAATGTTCCCGTCCCCTCTGTAGTCTCCTCCTCCCTCGACGGCTTGGAGTACTGACATTGAGTCAGAGAAGACAACATCTCCTGGTGTTACTGCGCCTTCAAAAAGTCTTGGGTGATCTGCTCCAGGGTCTTTACTATGGGAACTCTCTCTGCGTCATAGTTAGAGCTGTATGTTCCACATGGGCCAAATAGTTGGGTCTGCTTTTTCTCTCCAAGGTTGTTTCGATATTTGATGGTAGATCCGTATCCAGCATTCCCTGTAGCGTTTGTTGCTGACCCATCTGTGTATGCATGAATTGGGGTTTCAGTATATGAGTCCACTGTCTCCAGGGCACTAGGTCTGAAGATTTCTTCGGGTGTGGTCTTGGCTCAAGACGGGTCTAGAAGTCTCATCCTTATTGTGATTTCTAGTGCCTGCCAATATGGAGGTTCGCTGCTGATGTTGGTGATTGGTTCTCTGTTCTCGGGTGGGTCAAACTCCTCAAGTAGTTTTGTTGCTTCTTGCATGAAGGAGGTCTTCTGGATGCGTGTTCTTGGTTCCCACTCATCTGCCATTTTTCTGCTTTCGTTCGTGTCTTCTAGTCGCATAAACTTTTCGTAGGTTTCGAGTGTAGCACTCTTTCTTCTGAGGTCCAGTGGTTCTATGTTGGTGTGGATTTCGCATGCGCTTGTCGGCGTGGTCTTCATCGTACCAGAAAAAAATCTGAGTGCTTGGTTCTGTACTCTGTCAAGCTCTGCCAAAGAGCTTTGGCTGGCTATGGATTGTAGTGGTAGGGAGTAGTCAATTACAGATCTGACATACCCTATATAAAGTTGTCGGAGGGTTGCTTTGTCAGCTCCCCAGTTGAGTGATGAAAGCTGCTTCAGAAGGTTTAGTCTGGAGGTGACTTTCTTGGTCAGCTCCCCTAAGTGCTCTTTGAGAGACAGCTTTCGGCCCAGTTGTATACCAAGGTACTTGGGATAGTTCTCATGTCTGATGTTGGTTCCATTGATCTTAATTAAGGTTTACCTGACTTGCTGTAACTTTGTTTTTGAGGCTGAAGAGTCCAAAAAACAGTCTTGTCTGTGTTGATATCCATCTTCGATAGCTGGCAGTAGGACGAGATAGTAGTCAGGTCTGCGTTGATGGCTTGGTTCAGTGCTCTCATGTCACTTCCTTTGCTCCAGATGAGCCAGTCATCAGCGTAGAGTGCTTTCTGACAGGAAATGACATCTGGCAGGTCGTTCATGAGCAGCAGGAAGAGGGTACAGCTGAGTGCTGACCCCTGTGGGAGGCCTTCCTCGAGTGTCCTCTGAAGAAATCTTGCTGTCACATGATGTGATGTCATGATAGTTCTGCAAGACAGAAAGTTCTTGATCCAGCTGTACATCCTTCCTGCTATCCCAAGCTTTTGCATTTTGAAGAACAGTCCCTGTCTCCACACAGGGTCATACGCCTGCCTCAGGTCGATGAAGACAGCCACAATATTGTCTTTATCTTGAAAGGCATCGCTGGTCTTATGGGCAAATCTGATGAGGTGGTCCATAGTTCTTTTGCCTTTCCTAGATCCTGCCTGTGATGTGCTGATTGTGCCGGTGTTTTCCATCCACCAGTACAGTTTGTCGTTGACCATTCTCTCGACGACCTTACCCAGGCATGATGTTAAAGAGATTGGTCTATAGCTTGAAGGCTGGCTTGCTGGTTTGTCCTTCTTCAGTATTGGTGTGATGTTTGCCTTCTTTCATTCTGTTGGGAGCTGTCCCTCATTATTCCAGGTCCTGTTGTAGAAGCCCAGGAGTATGGAGAGGGAAGAGTCTGTCAGGTTGAGGAACATCTCATTGGTGATGTGGTCTGGTCCTGAGGCCTTTCTCTTTTTACACTTTTTGAGGGTTGCCTTCAATTCCGTCAGAGTAAACTCCTTCTCAAACGCCTGAGTTCTGATTGCTCAAATCTTATTGCTCATTTGGCATTGCTTCATCACAGTTCCACTGTTTAAGATACAATACAATCTTTATGAGGGAGGAAAACGTACCATCATTGCAATCCTCAATTTTGATATCAGCAAGTGTATCAGGACCCAAATAAGAATAAGTAGGCCTACTCTGGTCATCAATTAATTGAGGCTCCAGTCTAACAAAATCATGCAATTGTGGTGTTTGTTGTTGTTCAGTTGTTTGTAAAATGTGCTAAAAAGATTGAAAATCAAACAATGGATAATTTGACAGACATAATAAAGAGAAAACAATAGATAAAACATAAGGGGTCTTTTTGGACCCCAAAGGTAAAAATAGGTATTTTCCATTATCTGCCTTCTTCATGCCAGGGGGGTCTGCTTGGACCCCAAGTGGCAGAAATAGGAGATTACCACTACAACAGCTATCAGAAGTAAGGGGGTTTGCCTGGACCCCAAGTGATAAAAATAGGAATATTTAGGTAGGGTATGAAATAGGGTTAATGGAGAGGGTGTTCAATAATGTTTTAACGCTGCGAATGGTTTAATATACATTCCAGGTCAGCTTTTGATTTCTGAACATTCAGAAAGGCCCAAAACTTATTTTTTTAAAGGGACATTTTCAACAGAGAGTAAAAGTCTAATCAATTTACCCCACTCGATATGTTCATACCGGGTTTTTTTCAGCCTAACTCACATGCTAGATCTAGATGTAGAGCTTTGAAACTTTTAAGGAATCACAGTACTAAAAAAAAGCGAGAGAGTAAAATGTATTTTTATTTACAATAAGATTCCAAAATAATAGATCTAGTACGAAAGTGTCGCTTCAACGAAAGTCTTGTCTCAGAAGACAAAGAAAACTGCTAGCTTTAACTTTAATGAAACCAGAACAACAATAAGAAGGTATCTCGATTCGTGCTGGCCAATCGAAAGGCGAAATCGCAGCAGAATCCTGAAAAGTCAGCAATAATTATGATGGCTGCCCGTGAGCGTTTTGGTTGTAGCCCATCCTTCATGCATGCTTTTGAGAAACACTACAAAAAAACCCAACTAAACAAACAAACAACAACAACAACAACAGCAACAACAACAACAAACAAAAAAACAAAAAAACAAACAAACAAACAAACCCCAAACAGATTAAATGTGCGAGGGCTGTCCCACGGAAAACCGGAAAAGGTCCATTAAAGTAAAAGCAGCAATCTTTGTCCTATTATAATAAAAATGTAACACATCATACCTCAACATGTGCTTTATTTCTCGTAGGCACTTCAGTGAACGCGCTTACTATAGCGTCATTTGGCTTCGGAAAGTCCCATAGGGTTTTGTTTCCGGACATGACGTCTCATCGCGACAGTGGGTTCAAACTGCCCATATTTTTGTTTAATTTAGGGGACCAACATTCAAGTCCGATA